CATCTGGGCTTCAGCTGCCATCGACAAGAAAGGAATGGAATTGTTCTGTTCGATCCTGAGCACAAGGGACAGACCTGGGCATCAGAAAGAGAGAGAGAGAAAAGTGAGCTTTACTCCGTATCTAACCCCATGCTGTCCACGTCTTCAGAGTGTTTGATGAGGGACAGTGTAGAGACAGCTTTACTCTGTACCTAACCCTGTGCTGTCCCTGATCTGAGGAAGGGTCACCAGACCCAAAACGTTAACTCTGTTTTCTCCTCCACTGATGCTGCCAGGCCTGCTGAGCTTTTCCAGCAACTTTGTTTTTGTCCCTAACCTGGGCGTCTTTAATGGGGGACACTGCAGAGGGAGCTTTATTCTCAGTTTTCACTCACGGTGGTCTTTTCCAGCCTTGGAGGATTCCCACTGGGAGCTGCTGTTGATCCCTTGAGGGTGTAACAGTTTCCATAAACTGGATGGTGAAAGGACGTGTCGAAACTGGAATTTGAGAGAAAGAGAGACGGAGAGATCAGTGATATTCCTCACTCTCTGTCTCTGTCATTCTCTCTCCCCCGTCCCCCTCTCTCTCTCTCTCCACACTCCCTGTCTCCCTCTCATTCTCTCCCTCACCTCTTCTTTGTCTTTCTCTTTCCGTCTCTCTTATTCCCTCACCTCCGATTCTTTCTTTCTCTCTCCTCTCTTTCACCTCTCCCTACAGACGAAGCCATTGAACCGACAATCCTGGACGAACTCTCCCATCTTCGCCCCGTCCAAGGGTGATGCATCGAGGGAGATACGTGCCATGAGGTTCACGTAGTGGAAGGTGTACCACTCCCTCAGGGCATTCACGCCGGATGAATGCCGGTTGTAAAAGCAGTCTCCGCCAGTGGACAGGGATCGGTGGAGTATGTTGGGGGGTGGATGGGGTTTGTGGAGAAAGCATGGGGAGGAAGTTAGAAAAAGTGAGAATAGCCACAAAATGGGAGCAGGCCTCATCTACGACTGTCCCAGGTCTCCAGAGCCTGGGCGGAGGGAGCTTGAAGGCACTGCCGCGCCGCCCCACCAGGTCGATCAGCCAGGCAAAACAGGTTCCGTGTTTGGATGGGGCGGGCCCGGGTCTGGGTCAGGACAGCCCCAGATGCATCAGAGAACGTATCCCGAACATCGACAGGCCCCTGTCACTTTTCCAGAACTTACCAGTTTGAAGCTGATCTTCCAGGAGCTGTTGCGGACCAAAGGTGGGTTGTGGGCCCAGCCGGTCCCCTCGCCGGTGCTGCAACCCCCTGTCAGGGCCCGATCTCCAGGGCTGGCGAACCGCGCCGCCCCTCAGGGTCGATCAGCCGCAGGCCCAGGCGCCGTGGGATGGCCGCCCTGGGTGGGTGGCATGGGAACTCCATCCCCGGGACCCCCGTAGCCGCGTTGGACGTTGAGGACCTCCCAGGTCAAAAGGTCCAACTCCTTCAGGTCCACGCTCACCTCCTTGTACCTGCAGGGGACACAAATACATTCACATCAGTTTGGGTACGGGGTAGAGAGAGCTTTACTCCGTATCTAACCCAAACGTCCCTGGGAGTGTTTGATGCAGGGGGACGGTGTAGAGGTAGCCTTACCGGTATGGGTTAAGAGTACAGACAGTGACAGCGGAGAACTGTATGTTGCCGCTGTGGATCAAGAGGGAGATTTGAACCGGGAACTGGAGGTTCTGCCAGTACATGGCACCCAGCGTGAGTGCCAGGATGGCTGCCCACAGGCTGGTCTTCATCCGATTGCCCTCCGTACAGATCAGCCTCACCGCCCCATGGATGGTGGTCGTGCTATAGAAGGTGCTCAGAGTCTCCGTGTACGAGGACGGCATCTCCAGCCAGCCCTCAGTCTCCTCCGTCATCCCGGCCTCACCCTCCTCCTGCCTCTCCCCCTCCTTGTCCCGCCCGCTCTCCTTGTCCGGCATCTCTGCGGGCGAGAAGGAGGGAGACGGTGAAACTGTGAGAGACGGAAAGTGGGGGAAGAGAGAAGGTTGGAGTTAGACGGGGGGTGAAGGGAGGGGGAGACCGGAAGTCGAGGGACAGGTGGAGGGAGAGAAAGGGAGAGAGATGGGAACGGAAGGGGGAGGGAGGTGGGTTGGGGAAGAGAGCGAGAGTGGGAGAAAGCCTAACTCAACCACCCTTTCAGGCAGCGAGTTCCAAACTCCCACCAGCTTCAGGGTGAAATAAATCAGACTTAAAACTCCTCTTAACCTTCTGCTCCTTACCTTAAAGCTAAGGTTATTGACCTCATTACTAAGAGCAAATGTTTCTCCTTTTCTGCCCTATCTGTGCATCTAATGACAGTGAACAACTCAATCATGCCTTTTATGCTCAAAAGGTGACACTAGTTTAGTTTGGGATTATGTTCAGCATGGACTAGTTGGGCCGAAGAGTCTGTTTCAAAGGAGTATGACTCTGTAACCCTTTCAACCCAGCCTATCTAATCTGCCTTCATTACTGAAAGACTCCACCCCAGGCGACATCGTGGTGTACCTCCTGTATATCCTCTCTAGTACAGTCACATCATTCCTGTTGTGTAGCAGCCAGAATTGCATGCAGTACCCAATCATGTGGCCTAACATTTTATATAGCTCCCTCACAACCTCCTTGTTCTGGTATTCAATGCCTGAACTAGTAAAAGCAACGATCCTTTCTGTCTTCTTAACCACCTCACTCACCTGTTCTCTTCAAAGATCTCTGGATGTGCACATTAATATCTCTGATTCTTTGTACTTCACAAGGTACTGCCACTCACTGTCTACTCCCTTGTCTTGTTAATTCTCGCAACACGCATCACCTCAGATCTTTCAGGATTATATTCCATTTGCCATAGTGTGCCAATCTGACCAGTCTGTCTATATTATCCTGAAGTCCTTGTGGACTACATGGCAACCTCTGCAAGACATGCCAGATCATCGACATAGATACAACCGTTACATGTGGGAACACCGTTCACAATGTGCACAGCAAATACTCATGTAACTTGGCCACTGTTGTTGATCTCATACGATACAGGCAAGAATGCCCCGATGTACGGTATATTGGTGAGACCATATCTGTGATATGGGCCAAATGCAGACATGTGAGGCTAGCCTAGTTTGGGAAACTTGGTCAGCATGGACGAGTTGGAACAAAGTGTCTATTGCTGTGCTGTTTGACTCTTGGCACAAGTGATCTAGTTTAAAAACTGGATATGAACTAAACTTGCTGATCTCAGTGTGAGAATTTGTTCTTCAATATTAGGTCAACACACTGTCTCTGATTGTGTGAATTTGTTCTCATATTTTAAAAAATCCCAAAATAAGAGAGTATGAATTTAACTGACACATAAAACAGGAGAAGTGTTTAAGTTCAGGCTGCTAAAGAATATAAAAGCCCATGGTGTTCGGGGCAAGGTCTGGTATGTATAAACAATTAGATGACTGGCAGAAGAGTGGGCATGAAGGAATCTTTTTCAGGATAGTAGTCAGTGACTAGTGAGGGTCTGCAGGGGTCATTGTTGGGACCACAACTATTCACAATATACATTTAAGAAGTTGCCAAAAGAACTGAAGGCATTGTAGTTAGGTTTTCAAATGACACACAGATAGGTGGAGAGACAGCTAGTTTTGAGGAACTAAGGAGCTGCAGAAGGACTTAGACAGACTAGAAGAATGGGCAAAGAAGTGTCCGATGGAATATAATATGGGCAACTAAGATTCTGTACTTTGGTCAGAAGAAACGAGGCATTGAACATTTTCCAAACGGAAAGGCTTCAGAAATCTGATCAACCACCACCACCACCACCACCACTATCAGGAAAACAGCTCCAAGCCTTCAGAACTTGTCTTATTATCACTGATTTCAACATGTGAGCTTTGTTTTCTGGATATTATCATGAAAACAAATCTCCACCAGATGATATATTGCAGTGGAACTCAAATAACTGGCTCACTCTGTGCCAACAGCCATTGCCATTTCACTGGAACATGAAATCCACACCTTCCTCCTTCTGGGCAGTTCCTGAGGTCCAGACTTCTTGGCCGAGGTGTTTCTCACCGTCCCCAATGTGTTATGGTGCCACACGGTGTTTGGGTATCCATCGGGAGATGTTTAATGAGGTGAGAGCCTTGAGATATCTGACATCTTCCTGCAGAACATAAACTGAAACGGACAAAAAAAACCCCTCCTGTTGCATCTTTTCCTCCTCAGACCTATTTCTGTGCGACCTTTTGACAGGAAGGTATGAACAGATCTCACAAAAGTTTGATTGAAACATTTAGGAGGACAATGATAATTAATTCAATGGGAAGAATTTTCAACAGAAATAAATTCTGTAGGTTGGCAATGAGGGAAATTGCTTAGAGTCAGTGCAGTCATGTTGCGCTGAAAAGCCTTCATCTGCAAAGATGGTGGTGTAAAAGGTTTCAAGTTTGATAGTGGAGAAGGACAGTCCCAGAGAAAGAGGGAGAATTATCAATCATAGAATCCCTACAGTGTGGAAACAGGCCCTTTGGCCCAACAAGTCCACATCGAACCTCAGAACACCCACCCAGACCCATCCCCTTAATCTACACAATTTAGCACGGCCAATCCACCTAACCTGCACATCTTTGGACTGTGGGAGGAAACCGGAGCACCCGGAGGAAACTCGCGCAGACACTGGGAGAATGTGCAAACTCCACACAGACAGTCACCCGAGGGTGGAATCGAACCCTGGTCCCTGGCGCTGTGAGGCAGCAGTGCTAACCATTGTGCCACCGTGCCGCCCAATAATATGAGCAACATGGGGAAGTCGGATGGTCAGTAGTTTTGAGGGAACAGATTCAAGAGATGAGGTGGTGGATCTGATGGACATGTGCTCTGATGGGGTATGACAGGAGGGAAAGTGGAGAACGATGTCAGGGCTGGGATGTATGTCTTGCTGCATGCACGAATGGCTGTTCAAGGTGAAGATGCAGGGGAGGAAGAATCCTACAAAAGGATCTAACTTGGAATCAAAGTATTACAAAGACCTGCTACAGTGTATTTAACACAAAGCTGATTTATTTAACTTTTATCCTGAAAATTTAAACATTGCTTTCAGTTTCTGGATGTGATTAACAGCAAAGTCCAATCACTGTTGAGATGTGTGATCTCTCTGCTGTCTCAGTAGGGTAGATGAGTGAGCTAACTGTTTTTTACACACGGCGCAGGTGAATGGTTTCTCTCCAATGTGAACTCGCTGGTGTCCTGAGAGTTGGGATAATCGTCTGGAAACAGTCCCACAATGAAAGTACCTGAAAGGTCTGTCGTCATGTGAACACATTGATGGGACATCAGTTCCACAGAAATTCAATAACACTTCCCACAGTCTGAGAATTTAAAAGGTTTCTCCTCAGTGTGAACACATTGATAAGTCAGTCCCCAGGAGCTTGTAGTTGCAGTTCCCAAACAAAAATCTCTCCCAACGTGAACAGGCTGGTGTCTCAGTAGGTTGGGCGACCGAGTAAATCCCCTCCCATACCTGGTGCAGAACAGTCTCTCCCCAGTGTGTACCTGTTGGTGCTCCATGAGTTCAGATGGTCGCCTGAACCCAGTCCCACAGAGAGAGCACATGAATGGTCTTTCCTCAGAGTGAACATGGTGGGATATCAGGTCCCTGGAGATTTTAAAGCACTTTACACAGTTTGAGCATTTAAAAGGTCTCTCCTCTGTGTGAGCAAATTGGTGGGACTCCAGGTCCCTGGACGTTTCATAGCATTTTTGACAGTCTGGATATTTAAAAGATCTGTCTGCAGTGTGAACACATTGATGGCACAACAGCCTCCTGGGATTCTTACAGCACTTCCAGCAATCCAGGCATTGAAATAATCTCTCCTCAGCGTGACCGAGTTGCTGTTGCAGCAGGTTAGATGACTGAGTGAACTCCTTCCCACATACTGAGTAGGTGGATGGCCTGCTACTGGTGCATCTGCAATGTGTTTCCAGCTCAGATTGGAAAACAAATTCCTCCCCACAATCCACATATTTCCACAGTTTCTGCCCAGTGTGACTGCATTTGTGGTTTGTGGAGTCTGATGATTGGCTGAAGCCTACTCCACACACACACACACACACACACACGTACGGTTTCTCTCCACTGTGAACGAGGTTTTTTCCATCCATGTTCAAAACCTGACGACATTCCATTTGTGATAAACTGAATGACTCCATCAAATCTTTGTGTGATATTTGGTTTTAAATCTTCCCCTTCTAATATCCTGTATAATTGACGTCCAACAAAAAAAAACAAGAGACTGAGAGGGAATCTCTCAAAGATTCTGGCTTCTATATGAAGATAGTGTGAAAGGCATGAACTGAAGGAGAGGGATTTTATACACCTACACACTGACCAGAATTTGTCAGAATCTTCCAAACACTCAGCCTCAACCCCTGAGAAGGAGCAGGGTAGCAGCTGGACACATTCATGTCGGAGAATGGAACAGAAGGATCTGCTGATGGGTGAGAGGAAGAGTGGAGGGTGGAGTCTCACATGGACCATAAATACTGACAGAGACCAATTGAGCCGATTGGCCTAGCCCTGTGCTGCAGACTCAATGGGATGAATATATGTATTTATGTCAGATTTTGTAGTGGGAAGAAAAACATTATTGGCCGTGCAGGAGAAATGTCCTTCACAGCTTTTGGGAATCATTTTGGCAGGAATGTGCAATCCCAGGCTCAAACAGCATCAGCCTTACTGGAAGCAAAGTGGTGAGAGCAGCCAGTCCAGCAGAAAGAAACCTTCTGACCCTTCTACTTTACCCACTGTCAAAATGAACATGGCTCAGTCCTGGATGTCATTTTCGCTCATTTCTAAATCAATTCATGGGGTATAGTATCAATATCTATGTCAGCATTTACTGCTCATCCTGAATTGTCTTGCTTGAGAAGCTGCCTTCTGGGACTACAGTCCTTGTGGTGTAGGGACACCCACAATGCTGTGAGAGAAGAGTTCCAGGATTTTGACCCAGCGACAGTGAAAGAACAGCCAATATAGTTCCAAGTGATGATGGTGTGCGACGTGGAGGGATATTTTCAGGTAACTGTTGCCCTTGTTCTTCTACATTTCAGCGGTTTAGAATTTCGAAGGTGCTATCTAACAGAACGGATGTTGTTGCTGATTCACAGCAGATCCTGTATTCACTTGTGAATTTGCTTATGCTTCCGCAGATGTGATGACTGAATGAATCCTTTCCCACACTCGGAACAGATGAATGGCCTCTCCCCAGTATGCACTCGCTGGTGTACCTGTAGGCCAGATGAATCTCTGAATTGTTTCCCACAGTTGGAGCACTTGAATGGTCTCTCCCCAGTGTGAATTTGCTCATGTTTCCTCAGATGTGATAATTGAATGAATTCCTTTCCACAATCAGAGCAGCTAAATGGTCTCTCCCCGGAGTGAACTCGCAGGTGTGCACGCAAGCTGGATAACTGAGTGAATACCTTCCCACACTCCGAGCAGGTGGATGGGTTCTCCCCAGTGTGGGCTCGCTGATGTCTCAACAAGGTGAAATATTCCCTGAATTTCTTCCCACACTCGGAACAGGCAAAAGGCCTCTCTCCAGTGGCAGCACGTTGATGTTTCCGAAGGGCAGACGAATTAGGGAATTCCTTTCCACATTCAGAGCAGGTCAATGGCCTCTCCCTGCTGTGACCACGTCGATGAAATTCTAGTGCTGACAGTGAATGAAATCCCTTCCCACAGTCCTCACACTTCCACGGTTTCTCCATGTTATTGGTGTTGCTGTGTCTCTGAGTGTTCAATAATCAGCTGAAGCCTCATCCACACGGAGCATGGGTATGGTGTCTCCCTGCTGTGAATGGTATGATGCTTTTTAGGCTGCGTCACCGATTAAAGTTTTTTCCAGAGTCGGTTCACTGGAAGACTCTTACTTGGGGTAAGAGGGTGTGTCACAGTGCTTTTCCAGTCAAATTGACTTTAAACATTCGATGCAGACAGAACAAATGGACATTTCTCCATCAATGGTTATTCAAGTTCTGGTTAATTTAATCACTATCCGCACATGATGTTTGTTTTGTGATTTCTGTCTGCAAATCTTCACCTTCTAGCATCCTGTAAAAGGAATAAGTATAAATTAAAAATTCAGAACAGAGGATTCTAGTTTTCTCTGGGATAGCTTTTTCCTCTGTCTCCTCCCACATTCTCCCACAATGCTCACTTTGCTGATCCTAATATACACCCTCCCCGTTCACCTGAAGGTACTGATAAACAGATCCAAGGTCACTACTTCCTGTCCTGTACAGACTCTGCACCTTGCCTAAGTTCACTTGCTTCCTTTCAGTTTCTACAAGTCAATAATTTTACCACAGAATGGAAAAAAAAGGAAACAGAAAGGAAGATAAAAGAAAGGATTTTGCTCATAGATGTTGGACAGAAAAGGAGGGTTCAATCTGGCAGAATGCTTCCAGTCCTCGATTGTTTCTCATAGGTCAATTTCCAGCATTATGATGATTAGGGGGGTGGAACCTGGACCTGTGTGGGCATGGTGACACTTTGACACCCCACAAGTTGACCAGTAGAAAAAGTGGTTGCCTTAGTTCGCCAGCAAATCACAACGCTAATGTGTTCCACCCCAGGGGCGGCACAGTGACTCAGTGGTTAGCACTGCTGCCTTACAGCACCAGGGACCCAGGTTCGATTCCACCCTCGGGCGACTGTGTGGAGTTTGCACATTCTCCCCGTGTCTGCATGGGTTTCCTCCGGGTGCTCCGGTTTCCTCCCACAGTCCAAAGATGTGCAAGTTGGGTGGATTGGCCATGCTAAATTGCCCGCAGTGTCCAGGCATGTTTAAGTTAGGTGGGGTACACATGTGGAAATGCAGGGGTAGGGGAATGAGTCGCAGTGGGATGCTCTTCGGAGGGGTGGCATGGACTAGTTGGGCTGAATGGCCTGTTTCCACACAGTAGGAATTCTATGGTCTATGATCTATGAGGTATGCCTTGCACATGCTCCAAAGCGTGCCCTTATTCTGAACATGTGCAGTTTCATGTATTCCGACATGTGTGGTCCCTGCATCAGGGATTGTGGGAGTTGGAGACCCCAAGCACATACCGGAGCCCTGTCTCTGGGAAGTGGATGAAAAGTGGGTGGACAGTGGTTGGAACAGGATCCTCATTCATAGTACTTGCAGACCATCACTGGAGTTTACTGAGAACACCCCCTTATGCAACAAGATTTCACAAGACCTTGTCTTCTATGTGATGATGGCATGAGACAGAGAGTAATGATGGAGAGTTGCTTTTCAGACTAGAGTCCTGTGACCAGCAGTATTCCGCAGGGATTGCTTCTGGGACCTCTTTTGCTTGTCATTTGCATAAATGATTTGGATGAGAATATAGAAGGCATGGTTAGTAGGTTTCCTGATGACACTGATATTGGTGGCATGGTAGACAGTGAAGAAGATTTTCTAAGATTACAGAGGGATCTTGATCAAATGGGTCAATGGGCTGAAAAATGGCAGACGGATTTCAACCTGGATAAATGCGAGTTATTGCATTTTGGTACAACTAACAACAGCAGGGCTTATACAATTAATGGTAGGGTCTAAGGTAGTATTGTAAAACAGAGGGACCTAGGGATGCAGGTACATAATTCTTTGAAGTTTGCATCACGTAGACAGGGTGGTCAAAAAGGCATTTGGCACACTTGCCTTCATTGCTCATTCCTTTGTATAGGAGTTGGGAAGTCATGTTGAGGTTGTCCAGGACATTGTTGTGTCCTCCTCTGGAATACTGTGTCCAGTTCTGCCCACCCAGTTGTAGGAAAGATATTATCAAGCTGAGAGGGTTCAGAAGAGATCTATCAGGATGTTGCTGGATATGGAAAGTTTGACTTATAAAGTCTGGATATGCTGGGACTATTTTCACTGGAACGTAGGAGGTTGAGAGGTGACCTGATGGTAGTTTATAAAATAATGAGAGGTACAGATAGAGTTAATGGTAGCTGTCTTTCCCTAGGATGGGGAATTTCAAGACTATGGGGCACATTTTAAGGTGAGAGGAGAGAGCTTTAGAACAGACATGAGGCAATTTTTTTTACACAGAGGGAGGCTCGCATGTGAAATGAATTTCCTGAGGAAGTGGTGGATGCAGGTACAATTACACAATTTAAAAGATATTTGGATAATTACAAGAATAGGAAAGGTTTGGAGTGATATGGGTCAGGACCAGGCAGGTGGGACGAGTTTAGTTTGGAATTATGTTTGGCATGGACCAAAAAGTCTGTTTCCATGCTGTATGACTCTGTGACTGTATGATAGAGAAATCAAAAGGTAGGGAGTGAAGGAGAAGGAATTAGACACCTAAAACTTAACCAGAAATTTGTCAAAATCTTCCAAACACTCAGCCTCCACCACCGAGAAGGAACCCGGTAGCCAGTGAATGTGAACACCATCAAATCCAAGTTTAGGTAAAGGAGCTAAAGAGCAGCTGTTCCCGTTAGCTGATAGTAAAGTTATGCAGGATCAAGATTTAAGATATTGAGCAAGAATTACAGGGAGATATAAGAAAGGAATCTTATGTTAATTTCATTTTGCTTGATTCTTACATTCAAAGACCAATAATATCCAGTGCTGAATAAATAGTGAATCAAGTGACACTGTCAGATCTTGATGTGTTGTTTGTTTTGAGTTTCCGAAATGCAAATCCTCTTCAAATATCCTGTAAAATAAGTTTACAAAAGTGATCACTGTCAGTCCAGAACAAAAAAAATAAGAAATAAACGTTTCTCTTTTCTTTAAGATGTGCGTAAATGTTCCCCTCCTGATCCCCTGCAAAAGGAGTTTATAAACTCCATCCCTGTCAGCCCAAGACAAAGATTCACATTTTTTTCTGATATAACAAGGTGTAGAGCTGGATGAACACAGCAGGCCAAGCAGCATCAGAGGAGCCTTCCTG